ATTATTGAAAGCTAACTAAATCAAACTAGTTTTATATAATAATTGAATGTGTCATGTATAAAACACCTGTCATGGTAACTGTCAAATATTTAGTAGTTAATGAATGGCAGGTATAGTAATTTTGTACTGGATAGTACTGCCATCCTCTATGAGTTATGTCAGATAAAATGAAATGCTCTTAAATAAATGCTAAAATTTTGTTTTAGCAAGTAAAATTAGATTCTTCCACTTTATGACACAGGCTATTTAATTTGGATATTGGGCTTATTCTCCACCTAGCTCCACTTCAAAGCTCCTAGAGTCTTGTTGATCATCACGTTCTTCAGTGCCTCTCAACTATACCTCCATCTACGTTTTGTGTACATTCATTTCATCCCATATAAAAATCTAGACTTCCCTTCAATTTAGACAAAATGTATTTAAGATATTCTACTAGGTAAACATATTCAATACCGTCTAGGCAAACAAAATCATGTTACCATAATGGCTTCTGTATATCTAACCTTGAAGGAATAGTACTCTTGCCATTTGGAAACTATCTGGCAATATTGAAAGAATGTCCATATAAGTTTTGTATTCTAGTATATGGGGAGAAAGTGAAAATATTCTTATTCTTGTCCACTATAATTTTCCCCTCTCCTCTTATACAATTTCTTCTCTCATACAATACATCCTGACTGTAGCGTCCCCTCCCTCCACTCCTCTCTGCTCTTCTATCACCACCTATGTCCCCACCAAGATCCACTGCTCTTCTGTTTCCTTTTAGAAAAGAGCAGGCCAAGCTGGGCAGTGGTGGTACACACCTTTAATCCCAGCACTTGGGAAGCAGAGGCAGGCAGATTTCTGAGTTCGAGTCCAGTCTGGTCTACAGAGTGAGCTGCAGGACAGCCAGGACTACACAGAGAAACCCTGTCTCGAAAAAAAACAAAAAACAAAAAACAAAAAAAGAAAGAAAAGAAAAAAAGATTCATTTAAGAAAAGAACAGGCCTCCCAGTGATATCAACTGTGATATCAACTGTACATGGAATGACAAGATGAAATAAGACTAGGCACAGATCCTAATATCAAGGCAGAATGAGGCAACCTAGGATGAGGTCTCAAAAGCAGGCAAAACAATAGGTCAGAGATACTGCAATTCCCACTAATAGGAGACACACACACACACACACACACACACACACACACACAGACAAGTTAAACAACCACATCATATATGCAGAGAATCTAGCACAGACCCATTCAGGCTCTTTGATTGCCATTTCAGTTCCTTTGAGCCTCTATGAGCACTGCTTAGGTGATTTTGTGGGCTGTGTGCTCCTAGATTCTTCAACCTTGATGCCTCCTCTACCTCTTCTTCAGGGCTCATTGAGCTCTGCCTAATGTTTGGCTGTGGCTCCCTGCATTTGCTCCCATCAGCTGCTTGAGGAAGCCTCTCTGATGATAATTGAACTAAGCATCAATCTATGAGTATGGCAGAATATTCTTAGGAATCATTTCATTGACTATTTACATTTCTTTTTCTTTTATTTATTCTTATTTATTCACTTTGATTTATTTTTACTTCTAAAAATTATTTATTTTATTTTTATTAATCATTTTGTTATATTTACCTTTACGTGTATTATTTTACTTTTAATACTAACTTAATTAAATAATAAATTAATTAATGTATTTAATTATTTTTTGTTAGTTGTACTTTGTTCTACCTTATGTCACTGGGCCACCCAGCTTCCTGTTCTTCACCATCCAGGCACTATCAAACATCTTGTGGCATAAGCCTCAAGTTAGACCAGCCATTGGTTGCCTACTCCCACAATCTCTGAGCCACCATTGTCCTAGCATAACTTGTAGGCAACACAGTTGTAGGTCCAACATTTCAAAGCTCGGTTGCTCTCAGCCCCACAAGATGGAAGCCTTGCCTGGCTACAGAAGATGGTCTGTTCAGGTTACATAGCCTCCATTACTAGGAGTCTTTACTGAGATCACTGTGGTGATTTGAATGAAATGATCCTCATAGGCTCTTAGGGAGTGGGATTGTTAGGAGGTGTGGCCTTATTGGAGGATGTGTGTCACTGGGGCATGGGCTTTGAGGTCTCAGATGCCCAAACCAGTCCTAGTGTCACTCTTCATATCTGTGAATCCAGATGTAGAATTCTCAGCTACTTCTCCAGCAACATATCTGCCTGTATGCCACCATGTTTCCTTACCATGATGATAATGGACTAAACCTCTGAAGCTGTAAGACAGCCCTAATTAAATGTTTTTCTTTATTAGAGGTAATGTGGTCATGATGTCTTTTCACAGCAATAGAAACCCTCACTAAGACAGTAACCCTCATAGGTTCCAAGAAAATTTCACTGCATTAGGTTTCCACATTGTCCATATGTCCCCCAATTCCAGTCACCTCTCCCCATATTCTCTCCATTTGTCCCTCCCTCCTTCACCTGATCCTTCCTGTTTCTGTCCCCACTTGCCACCAGTCCAACCATAAAATCTATTGTCCCTTCCCAGGGAGATTCATACATCACCCCCCTCCCCCCGCAGAGTACCTGTTGTTACTTAGCATCTCTGAGTGAGGCAAGAGACCAAGAAAGACAAACATGATATATACTCATAAGTAGATATTAGCTGTTAGGTAAAATTTTAATCATGCTACAATCAACATGTCCATTATAATTTTTATTGTATCTCTTCTCTGCAGTATTCATGTTACCAAGTACTTCAAAATAAGACATGTTTGGAGATGAGATTTTCAAATTAAATTATTGAAATAAGCACTCATACAATGGGACTTGGATGCTCTTATTTGAACATGTTGGGACACAGAATGATGAATCAAGGATGTGCACATGAATAGAGACTGACAATAGAGACAGCAAGATGTCATTTAGGCTGATGACAGAGACTTCACTGGAAATCAAACCTGCTGACATCTTTATATTGGACTTCTGGCTTCAAGATTTTGAGAAAATAAATAAATTTATCCTAGTTAAGCCACTGTGGTACTTTCATAGTATCCCACACAAGTTAATAGATTTTCCTGCATACATATTCTTTCTTGATTATCTCTTACTACAACATTCTTCATAATCATGTTTTAAGGACCCATTTACTCTGTGTGTGAGTGAAAGCAGAATTTCTATAATAGGATTATATGATATTTAAACATACAACACTAGATAGTATATAGATAAGATGGAAATTAATTAATCATTCTCATTTTATTATACTCATAGTCTGGGGAGTCTTATATTGCTTGAAAGACAGGGCCTCATGCGGTTTGCCACACATACAATATGCAATGGAAGTAAATGTGAAATTGTGGTCTGAAGCAGAGTAAACAAATGATTAAGTCATTTTAGGTCTTGCTGGATCCACCAATTGTCAAGGCATTGTATAATATTACAACCTTATTTTAGAGAACCTCCTTCACTACATAGTTTTCCATTCAGTAATTTTTCTTCAATGTTCTGATATATCATATGAAGGACTTATATTGTTCATCAGACTCATAGGTTCAGATAACTGACCATGAAGCTTACTTTAAAATATATTACACTATATTGACCTGAAGTTTTCTAAATCCAAATTGCCTTGCCTCATGAACTTTATTCTCACTTTTATCTATTCTTCTTGTGTTGCTGTAATTCCCATAGGAGGTTGTAATATTTTTCTCATAAGATTTTAGTTCTTTGCTTCTAAAATTCTATGGAATGAAGCTGGGTCTTTTTGTGAGCATCACCAGCACCAGCAGCGAATTTCCCAAAGAGCAAAAAGATACTCGGTTGATACAGGAAAATAAGAGAGATATCAAGGAGGAAATCTAACTTCCTAAAAATTAATGTCCTCTCTTTATACACAATGCCCATTCAGTCTTCATTCCAGGGAGTCATTGCAGGCCCATGTTTGTTTTCCTCTCCTCATTAGTCAAATGTATTTTTGATTGATAAAACCACCAAAGATTATACATATTAAATTTTAGAGTTCTCAGGAAGTAACTCAATAGTCAAGGATGCTGTGTATATAAAAGAAAAACCTGTCTTTTGGTGTCCATGTACAAAAGCTAAACATGGTCACACATGTGCCAGTTCCCCCAGTTCTGTAAAGGCAGAGATGGGAGGATACATAAAGCTTGATTGCCATTTTCTTAGCTCCAGTTTTAGTGAGAGACTCCATATAAAAATAATAAACCATAGAATGATAAAGCAAATTACACAGTGCCCTCCTCCAGATTCCTCATGTGTGCACCAGCATATACCTGCATCCTCATGGGCATATACCACACACATATACTGTACACGTGCACTCATGCTCCTTCTTTACCATTTTGTCTTGGTCTTTGTAGCTTATATACTGTCTCACTCTCTTATATGTACTTAATGTCAGGATATTAGATAATTTTTTCTTGTACCATCTCTAGTACTCTTAATAGAGATTACTATATAGAGCAGATGCTTAATTAATGTTCATATAAAGCAAAGTATTAAAAAGATTAAAAGATTTGAATTACTACAAATCAATTTTACATACAGTTGGAGTAAACTTAATTCCAAATTTATTTAAATTAATACTATAAGCAAAGGATAAAACATACAGCAAACTTTGAATTAAAAATTTTATTTTTATTACATATTTATGATACAAGTTATATAAAAATCACTTTCCCAAAAGGATCCTACTTGTGAATTAGTAAACAGTAATTACTTATCCATTTTTTATTTGATTAAAATTATCAAACTCGTCTTAAACTTGATAAATAACAATAAACATACCAGGCAAAAATATTTAAAAACATAGACTATGAGATGATTAACTTTGGTTAAAAACACTTAACTTTGGTTAAATATCATATGCAATATAACAAAGAATAAAATATCTCTAATTTGATCGTTTATAGTAGTACAATAAGACATAAACTTTGTTTCTACTACCTTATAATGCATTCTACTACATAGAAGGCTAACTACTCTTCAACAGAATGTAAAACTCTCAAATGCAACTAGAGAAAGGAGATGCTGTGGGTTATGTACCCTACATGAGGACTGTCAATGGCATTGCCAGGCACAGCTGTAACTCTCCTTGCTGCTCTATTAGCCTCATCAATCAGAGCCTCCTCGTATAGACAAGGAAAGGAACTAGGGATACCATCATTGATCTTCGCTAAAACTTCCAGGACTTTCATTTTCGTGGTTTCAGCATGGGCTCTGGAGCCCCACAGGAACACATATTTTGGAGGATCAATGCCAGACACTCGGTGGTACTCCAGATAATTTTCCTTCACAAGATCTTTAGTGATGAACTTTCTAGGTTCCCCAAAGATTGGGTGATCCCTTCCAGGATATATCCCCACCACTTTCAGAAATTCCCAAATGTCATCCTCACTGGAAATGTTTCCATTCATGAAGATCACAACCAGGAGGGTCATCAGGAGCCCTGTCTTGGGTAACCCACTACTGCCCCTCAGACTTCCCTCAGTAGAGAGACCCAGCATGCCCACAAGCATATATGACTCAGAATTGGGATCAACTTTCTTCAACTCGAGGCCAAAGACAAGCTCCAAGTGCACAGAGATTCTTTTAATGATCTCAGGGAAGTGTGCTTTATACTTCCTGTTAATCACCCTCGACATATCTTCCTGTGTAAAGTGCTCTTTCACCTTAAACTTCTCCAGCATGAACACCATCAATGCACCTGCCTTCCTGTTGAGAAGATTTCTGCGCACAGGATGAGTGGTAGAGCCTATCATGAAAGTGCCTGAACGTCGCAGAGAGCTTATAACAGAAGCCTCAGCATTTATACCAGAAGTCTCACCACCTACAGCACCTATTGATAACACACTTAAGTCATCAGAAACAGAGGCTACATTTGTCTGAGTAGCCAGGTGAGTGCAACTCTCAGGAGACCTGGGGGAATCCTCTTGACCAATAGAAGATGTTGGTTCCTCCTTTACAGTGGGATGAGCAACATCAAGACTATGGCTCCTCTCCTGTACATTTTGACGTTTGGTGCGAGAGCGACCTTTACCCTTGTGGCTCCTAGGCATGATGACTTGGCTCAAGGTCAGCAGGACAAAGATATAAGCAAGTGACTCAGCAAAGCAAAAATCTGGAGGGGCAAAATAACACTGTGTAAGTACCATATTTTTGCCATATCAGAGAGTACCTTTCCTTTAACAAGGCCCCCACTCATCTTGCTCCTACTGTGCTGGGCAACATGTGTTCTGAGAAATCTGTTGAGGAAATCAATTCTGGTTAGAAGAATGGACTATGGCTAGGTTTTGGGCATCTTGAGGTAAGAGTATGGACTGTGATTGATCCTTACTCCTTAAAGAGATTTAGGCACAGTTTGGATACCAACACATCTATCTGTTGTTCTGATATCAATAGTGCAATGTTTCCTAGAATCACACAGAATAAAATTAAAAAGAGCATATCGCCACCACCACTCATTCAGGAGCAACACAGATTACCAGTGCAGGCCAAAGAGGGGTGTATTTGAGGACCCTTGCTGTTAGTTACAAGGAGTGTAGTTTTCACAGGGATCAAAGGCCTCACTATGAGTCTTTTATCTGGAAATGGAAGGCTCCTCAGAACAAATATGTCACCTCCTTGTTTTCCCAATGGCAGAGATCAGGAACAACAGAGTCTTTAGGCCTGCCTTAACACCCTCAGGCCACTGTATTAGGGTACAGTTCACCATGGCCACCCTGTCCAACTCAGCTTGAAATACCCCTTATAATTTTCATGACTTCATATTAATTAGAACATACCCACTTCTTAGCCCTCTTGTTTCCCAGGTAGGATTCCATTCCTGAGAAGAGCAAGGGAAATGAATTGCCTCTGGACCTAACTTCCTGCCATGTCTGGGGATTCTGGAGACCAGAGCAGAGGCAGGGCATTTGTGGCCTCCTTTTCAGGTAGAGGGTGGGTTGTAGCTTGGAAGATTCACAGCGGATTTCATTTTGCTACTGTTTTAATTCTGATTATCCTTTAAGGCCTCTGAAAACACACATGACAGAAGACAATACTGCTCAGACCAAGCAAGCCCTTCTGGCCTCAGGCTGGTGAAGCAGAAGTCAAAAGTCTCACACTTCCACCCATTTACCCATTACTGTGAATCTATCTGGTCTTTTGAGTAGAACTCCAGAGTTGAAAGTATATCAACTTCCTCTGTCTTATTCCAGGGAAGAGGATTGCCAGACAACTAAAAAAAAAAATCATGTTTATTTTGCTCCGGACTGGGTTGTGTCCCTCTTGAAATGAGGCAATGGGTCCCAGATAAAAGATCTAATTCCCTTTAAAATTCTTTCTTTGAAAATTTCATATAGTATGTTTTGATCATATTTACCCTCCCCAAATTTTTTTCAGATGTACTCCCTCTTTCCTACTTACACAAGTTCACACACTCTCTTTTTTTCCCCACTCTTTAAGTTCAGTTTGTATTACTCATATATTCCTCAGCATGTGACCTCCCAGTGAAACGTGGTAGACTTGCTAGAGGCAACATTCTTAAGAGAAACTGATCATTCCTCTCCCAGTAGCTATCAATTGTCAACAGCACTTCTGCTAAGTGTGGTGTTTAATATCTGCCTTCCCTCTATATGCCAGAATTTGATCAGGCTTGATCTTGCATGGCGCTTGTGCAGGCTTTTGTAGTTTCCAAAATTTATATGTCTCCATACTCCTGATAAGGATAAGTTCTGATTATAGATAGAGTTTTCCAGGGTGTGGTTTCTGTTGTGTTTGGGTCTCTTTACCTTATTCTTGTGTGGTCGTCTTTTCAGGGCATAGGAGATGGCACTTTTCAAAGGACTTTAAAGGAGTTTGGGTTCTCACAGATTTGTCCTGTTATGTTTCTACTCACCTGACAGCACTTAGGATGTTTCTATTCAGCTGAACAGAGCCCACACCAGTAAGACTGAAGGTGATGCTGAAGTCAGGTTCATTAATTTCTGGGATTTCCAGGATCTCGTAGACCTAGTCTTTGAAACAGAAACCATGAGGCTTTATCAGTCCTGATTTGATCCTAAAGGTAAGAGTCTCCAAAGAACTCACAGTGATAATTGATTAATCATTTGCTCAAAGCCTGTTCCAGTTTCTGAGGTGAGTCTGAATGTCTCAAATCAATGATCTTTCTCCCCTGTTAGTTCTAAGTAGGAAAAAGGGTGGAGTTCTAACAAAAATTATGGCTACACTCTGTGTATCTTTTCTTAGGGGAGTGGCACCCTCAATCAGAACTGTTGTAATGCAGCTTCTATAGAAACTTGTTCACCTACCTTCCTAAACATCTATGTTTCCAGAGTCCTGATAAGGAGCAGTTCTTATTACAGGTAGGGCTTTGCAGGGTCTAGTTTCTGTTGTGATTGGGTCTCTAACATATGGACTCTAAGGACTGGATGCCCTCTTGTAAGCCCCAGAATATCACCTCTGAGTACATACACTTCATTTGGTCACTAATTTCTTGAGCCTCCAAGATGTAACAGCTTCTGGAAATTGCTGGTCCACAGAGGATTTGAGAGAATTTGGAGGCCTATCTGTCTACTTTGTGTTTTGTAGTCCTGTTTTAACTCATATTGTCATGCAGACCACTGGCAGAGCCTTGCATTCCTGTCTTTCCTGATTTTAATTCTCCTTCTTTAAACTGAGAAGAAATTCTGAGAAGAAAAATGAGAATCCTGAAAGCTATAGCTGAAGTCTGTTTCTACTTATATCATGGGCATTTCCAAATGTTTCAGAAATAAGTTCATACCCCTGTCAAATGAGATTCACTTTCATTTTTCCTAGTCTGTTTTAGTTCATTCTTTGTATTCTCTGAAGTTAAGAATAATAAAATAATATAGGATTCTCATTTTGAGTTCACCAACTCAGTTACTAAAGAGCTTTCAGGTGGTGGTTATTAGAATGGCTGGACTTAGTCAACCCAAATGTTTATCCTGACCTGTCATTCCTCCACAGGTCTAACATATGGGCTCCTAAATTGTACCCAAGACTCAATTAATGGCATAGGACTTTTTTCTCCCAAGGTATAATGGAAAAGAAACAAGGCCAAATTTAAAATTATTCTTCTACCTGAGTCTGTCATCTGTTATATATTAAAGTGTACACAGTTTTTTTCACTCCAGAGCTTGCCTTCCCACAGGTATTGATTCAGTTGAGTACTTCTCAGGGTTCTCTTGTTTGTTAATCTACATAATGTTATTTTCATTTATTCCTTTAAAATTTTTATGTGGTTGGTTTGGGGCATTGGAAACAGTAGCCATAACTTGATTGATATCTTGGGAGGTATTGCTAAGACAATGCATCTGGAAATTGTGGAACTGATAACTTTATAGCAGACTTTCCCTGACTAAACATAGACTGTTGGACTTTATGCCTCCTAAGTTTGAGTAAATTTTTATAGTTACCTAAAAAAAGGATCTTGTATATTTCTGCAAGTTTCATTTTAGGTTCATTTTAGATATTGTTGCAGTCAAGAATCACATACTTTCTGTTACATGTTCTAATTATTGTTTTCCAAATAGTAAATTTCAGTATCGCTTCTTAGGTGCAGGCAAGTCACTTTTGCCAAAATGTTGTCTACCAGTTTGTTAAAGAAGGATTTAGTTGGATTTGGGATATAGAACAGCATTTAAAGTTAGGACTCAACATCTGTGTAGGGTATAATCTCTAAGCAGAAGATGATCAAGGAAGTGTGGTTTGAGAGAGAGATGAGATATGGTAGACTTGAGTTCTTGTTTAATCGACATAATTGGTGTTGGGTTAAGGCTTCATTTTAAATACTAGTACAGTCAAGAATGACTGTATTTTCTATAATGTGTTCTAATTGGTAATTGTTAACACTTGTTAACTAACAGGTAAAACGAAGTCCTTTATTATTAGTATTAGTTAACATTGGGGTACAACAGGAGACCTCAGGTTGAACAGCTGCTGCTGTGGTAGTCTGTGTCTGCCAGTTCACCAGCTCACTGCTCTAGATCTACACGTAGTTCTATTTCTGGACATTTTCCACATACCTGATGGTACAGATGGTAAGATGTTCCTGCCAATCTAGTTGCTAAAATCTCCCAGCCTCTCTCTCAGCATGTCCTGTCATGGTCCTTGATGATGAGATGCAGGCTGCATTGTGTACTTTTCAGACCATTAGAAAGATCAAGGCCACCTTGACTTAGAGTTCATCTGGCTGGTCAGAGTTTTTTTTTTTGTTTTGTTTTGTTTTTGTTTTTGTTTTTGTTTTTTTAAATAAGGTTTTTCCCATAGTCTTTGTAGTGCTCAGCAAGAAATCTCTTCATTGTGTGCAACATTTTGGCTGTACCAGGTTGTAGCTCTAACTGTGCGAGCTCTAGATTACAGTCCCCACATAATACCACTATACTCCATTTGTGCTTACCACAACCAGGGTTCACTTGCTGGCTCACTGAAGATCAAGTTCATACTCACTTTGGCTTTGGATAAGTAACCCCTCCATATACATTACATAGTAACTTGAAATCTTTATATGTGGCTATGGATAAGCTATCAATTTGGCTATAATGATTTTCTAGGCTATGATAGTTTTAATTTCCTATATCTATTTTTATATATGTCTGAATATCCTACATCTGCGATTATATATATATATATATATATATATATATATATATATATATGCTAATGACAGCATTTTATTTTAATTATAGACTTATACTGGTATTATCTCTGTCCATTCCTCACATTTATTTAGGCATATTTATGCAAGGTTTTCATATGGTTTCCCATACTTTATTATGTACCTTTATAATATTTCACATTTGCATGTTTGTTGATGAATTATTATATGGATATTCAATTCTCCTATGAATTTTCTGAAAGCTAATAAAGTGACTAGTGTTAAATTGACACAGAAGGTTTCCCCACCTACAGTGTGATTAAATGTTTTTTCTTTTCTATTTTTTCTGGCTCAACCTCCCCAGTCCTAGGTTTATAAGCAGAAACCAACTTGCTCAGCTACATCGTTTTGTTGTTGTTTTTCTAATGTGATTTATTTGCATTCCTTAGGCCCTCAAAATTTATTAATTCACCACTGTATTTGATGTTTTATGAATTATGATGTTTGTTTCTGAGTTTGATGGTGTTCTTTTAGGGGGAACCCTTCTTGATTATA